TTTCCTGTAAGGGTTCCAGAGCCCTGGAACAGGCTCCCCAGGGAGGTTGTGGAGTCTCCTTCCTTGGAGACTTTTAAGAGCCACCTGGATGTGTTCCTGTGTGACCTGCCCTAGACTAGATGGTCCTGTTCTGGCAGGAGGGTTGGCCTCGATGATCTCTGGAGATCCCTTCCAACCCCTAACATTCTGGGATACTGTTACCTAGCCTGGCTCATACCAAGGTTAGCCATCATGATGTGGAAAGGGAAAAGGCACATCTATTAACAGACAAGTTAAACAGGGGCAAGCTGCTATTTCCTCTGTTGCAGTTTAATAAGCTCAGAGGTAAAAGTTGGAAGACAGAGTGTTGCTTTTGCAACATTTTCCTGCCACTGAAAATATCAGAGAATCTAATCACAAAAAATGTGTACGAATTGGCTGTGCTAGGAATTGAGGCAAGGAGTAAAAAAAGTCTGATTTTGTAGAAAAGGAACAAGCTGGACTTCTATCGTCTGAGTACAGTGGCAGTAAGTTTTATGTATTCCATCTAGAGTAGAGCATTTGTATGGAAAAAAGCAGTGCAGAATGCTGAGGCAGAAGTACCAGGGGCTGAAAACTAGCATACTGAGTAGTGAAGTGGAATTCCTTACAAAAAAAAAAAATCTGTTTTAGTTGTAGTAACTTCAAATTAAAAGAAGATGTTATAAATTCCTTCCTGATGAGATAACATGGCAATGGTTGTATTGTACAGATGGTGGAGTTTATTTACTAACTATATTTTTTTTATGTCAGTTGGCAGTAACATTTTAGTAGTACCTAAATATGCATCTTAAGTGCTTTTCTCTAGGCATCTGTGCTGGTAAATTGAATCCATGGTTTCTTTGAACTGCTTCAATTGCTATTTCTTTAAAACCGTACAGTATGGCTGTAAAAATAAATAACCTCTAGCTAAATCAGGAGGGGCTGTGTTACCCTAATTTTTGGTCCCATTTAGTTGGAAGGGGACAGATTTGAAGCATTCATTGAAATAAAAATATCAAAATAATATGAATGATTACAAAATACTTCCTCTCTGAAATGAACTTGGATCAGAGATCACAACATAATAGACAGGACAGCTGCCACATCGAGCTTTCTCAGGTACCTGTTTAATTATTTTTTGTCAATTCTAAGATAAACAGCCTGATGTCTGAGGGTTATCCTCTTTGTTGCTGAATGTTTGTATGTAATCTCATGCCGAAATATTTCATGCCTAATACTTTACCATTTTGCATGTCTGCAGGATAGGTTCTGATCTCTACAGGTAACACGAAGAGTGAAGTTTGGCTCAAGGCACATCTTGACAATATGCATTAGTTCATAATTCCATAAAATGATAAATTGTAGGTTAGTTCCTCAGTGAAAGAACTAGATGCTGTTTACCAATTTTGTGTTCACTTTTGAACACTTTACAAAATGGGGGCTTGAATCTGAAATGCAGTGAACAGACCTGCCATAAGTTTTGTGACTTACGCTTCATTGGTATCATCTTCATCAAAAGAAGTTTTGTCTTTGAAAGCAATGCTGGCAAGAGTAACAGTAGGCTCCCACTACGAGGTGAGGTACCGCAGCTATGGTGGAGTTCCTCCCACTTCTTACCTCTGAACTGTGTTGGGGTGTATGATTTCGTGCCTTTGGAGTTCATGTAAGTGCTTAAGGTTTCTTCCAGGTCCTTTCTGATACCCTGTTGAGGACACTTGGTGGCTGAGGGACCAAGCACTGAGACTTAAGATTGCAGCCTGAAGCACTGAGTGCACAGACAGCAGTTGTCTGTTAGGGAGAGCTGTGGCTGCTGGCAATTTTTGTCACTATTTTTTTTGTCACTCTCAAACACTGTCTGTTTGAGACTTTGATGTACTCTTCCCCCTTTGTACAACACCTACAATCCTTCCTTTTCTTTGTTGTTCCTTACTTCACTCCTTCACTGGGAAAGTTTGGTATCTTCTAATTTCCACTAGCAAAAGATGAACATACGGTTTGTGTATGCAGTCAATTCACCACTTTAATTAACAAAAAGAACCCAGAATGCATTCATTTAAATACTTAATTTTCTAAATTCTGAAAATGTGTACGTAGTTATTTTTAACCTGGTTTCCTAGGACCTGCAATCATTTTTCACTAACCACCCACTGTTAATAACTTCAGGAGCTTCTGTGTTCAGACAGACTTCATGTAGGGCACAGAGATCTGAGTTATGGAATCCACAGCTTCATGAACGCAAACAGACATGTAGAAGAGAGAGGATCCAGTTACCAGGCTGGTCAGGCTGCCACACAAGGTCAGCCCTTACTGCTAAAAGTGAGAGGATCCTCATGGAGGAGACTTGACAAAGACACCAGCTGTGGGGAAAGGGCCATCAGGGTGGGGGCACTGGTGGGTACCAGGAGTCTAACTGGGGAATGCCAGTCATTCACTCTTCGTTTGCCTGCCTTTGCTGCTGCTCCACATGACTACTTCTTGTCTCTTCTTGATGTACTTCTCAGGAGAACAGCTCTGAATTGCGAGTATAAACATTGTGCAAGAATGGAGTGGCTTTTCAGTTTACCCTCAGACACACCTCTTTATGTGGTCTCTGACTGCTGGCCCTCAGCCCTTGTCTTCCTTGTGCACCCAGTCGCCCCTTTTTCTTCTTTCTCTGCAGAAGGACAACCCAAAACACAATGTCCTGGATCCTACTGTCATCACCCTGGGTGCATCTGCAAGCCCTATTACCCCTGCCAAGGCAATATGGAATAGCTGTCTAATTTCTTCAAGAATATAGCAGTAGAGACAGAGCTAGACACCATAGCAGGTGTGGATGGCCTCAAATTTTGGTTGTGCTTTGGAAAACAGATGCTGTTTTAAACAGCTCATGTTAGTGTCTGAAGTCACTACAGGAGTACGGTGGTACCAGCAGTGGTCTGAAGGCTAGGAATGCACCTTTCAGGATAAACTAGTTGCATCCGTTTTATCTCAGAGCACAGTTTGTTACAGAAACAAAACCCGAAGTCAGCAAAAAAAGGTTTTCTCTGATTGTGTCTTTCTGTTCTTTAAACAGAAAAATTAACGTCATATGTTACCTGGTGGTAGGACCTTAAAGTAAAACAAGAAAACAAAATTTAGGAACAACTAATAAACGAATGCTGAAGTTGACCGCATGAATTATGATACAGTAAATTCAGCTTCTAACAATTTTCTGATTTTATGGTGTGAAGGAGATGGAGGATTTTTTGTTTTCTTTGGCTTTATTTTTCAGGCTTCCTTGCTTTTCATCTTGCTTTTCAGTGTTAGGTGTATTATCCCCCTTCAGTTTGACTAAAGGGAAGCTTGCTGTGTGGGCTGTGTGGAGCCCGTCCTGCAACGTGGCATGTGTTGGCGAGTGAAGCTGTTTGGAAATGGCACTTCCAGCATAGATGCTCACAGCACTAATACTGCTTTTGTTGTATCTTCACACTAGAAGGTGAACATAAGCTGGTAAAGCTGCTTTTCTCAGTAGTCTGCTGGTGACTTTTGTTAAAGGATGTGCTGACCTGTATAGGAGACAGACAGGCACCTGTTTTCCACTATGCTGGCAAGTTTTATACTATTGTAGTCTTGCTGCTGCTTCAGCTTGAGTTTTGCGCCTGCTATGCTGTTGCTTTGCTTACTGCTGCAGCAATTAGTGGAGTAGCCATTAGAAGCATGTCTCCAGCTATTCACAGAGAAGTAGTACACTTAAACTAGCAAAAAATATTTTTTTTTCTTAACCAGTCGAGTTTCTACTTTGCTTAAGCAGATATTGAAATCCTCTCTACCTCATTTGTATCGTTAATGAATTTCAGGGCTTTATACCACATCACATTACTGGAAGTAGGTTTGAAATAGATAAAGGTACAATATACATATATATTTTTAATAGTGAAATGTAATTTTCTGACATAACAGCCAAAATAAAGTGCCATGAAGCTATCAGTAGTAAATGGGATTTTTTGGTATGTAAGTTAGTATAACTACCGACGAGCTGAAAAGCCCCGAGCCCCGCGCGCGTACTCATTAGCCACGCAGCGTAGCAGCCGAGAGGCAGCAGAGGGCCGGCCCGGGTGTGCCTTTTGATGTCTGCTCCGATTGCACACTTCATTTGTTTGGCCGTGGCGTAGGCGGCTTTCTCTGTCACGGGGCATCGCCGCACCATTAGCAAGTTGCGCCCCAGGGCAGCTGGGACGCTTTGCTGGGGCAGATGTTCTTTTCAGCTTATTCAGTGGCCGTTGTGGGGTTGTTTACTGTTGTCATGGCTACCTACATTTCCATAGCAGCCGAGCTGCTGTGTGTGAAGCGAGTGAATATAGTTATAAAAGGATCATATTTTGTTCTGTCTCTATAACTTACCATCTGTCAGCTGACTGTTCGTGATGGATTCAGAAACCAATTTAACAGCAGCCAGACGATGATTTTTGCTTATATTAAAGTGACAATGGATGAGGATGCAAATAAGTTGGCGCTTCAATGAAACGCGTTTCTTTTTTTTTTCCGCTTAATTGTAGCCGCTGGGCTTCCAAAGCTTTCTCAAACGTTGCTGAAATCCTTATCAGCAAATTGAAATGACCGTGTGTTATCTTCTGTGCTTGCTCAGGTGTAGGTGTTCCCTGTGCTTTCCCACTCTGCTGTCAGCTCATCCCTGTGTGTTGCTTCCAAATTGTGATGTTGCACCTGCTTCCACAGATCTTCTATAATGAAATCTAAATACCCTCCACAGAAATAAACAGTCGATTCATGAGGCTGACAGTGCAGGTATCATCCACACACAAGTACGATTTGGTGACATTCATCACTGCACTCTACTTAATATTAGCAATGGGGTCACACGCAAGTTTGGGGGTAAATTCAATGTGTGACCAGCGAGCTCTCTGAGTAACAAGCTCTTATCCCTTTTCACTGCAGGGATTTAGGTGAACCTATAGTTTAGCAACGGGGGCAAGAAGATTAGCCCAGTTGTAAATAATGTATTTATTGGTTGATTTTTCCAGATCCTGACATTGATGCTGCCACTGCCATGATGCTTTTGAATACTCCCCCTGAGATACAAGCAGGTTGTGAGTAGATATTTCTATAGCATATAGCAACATAGATTTGTAAAGTTAATGTTCTCTAAGTATACGGCGTACCAGACAAAAAGAAGGATTTAATGAAGAATTATAAACTCCCTTTTAGACCCTTACACTTCCTTGCCCCTTACTTGAGTATAGTGTTGTGGTTCATGTATGTTCCTTGTTACATGAATAATAGTAACCCACGACCTCTAATGTAGAAGAGGGGTTATTGTTATTCATGACATACACATCATTGAATAACATGATATTATCCATACAGATAGAAAGACTTGGGGCAACAGGCAGGAGAAATGCAAGGAAAGAGCACAAGAGCGAAGGGTACATGGCATATGGTTTTGTTTTCGTTTTGGTTTGATTTGACTCTCATCATGTGAGTTACTAGAGCCATCTGGATCCTTTCCATTCACTGGGGTGCTGTTTCAACTCCTTCCTTGCACACATCCTGCCCGTTTTGATTTTTTGCTCTGTCTGACACAAAACAGTAGGCGGGCTCTGGGGAGCAAGGCAAGGTCTCATTGCCTGCCAGCACCATCCTCCTTCTTCTGTGACCAGACCTGAGGTTTCGCATTAACAAAAGACTGAAGGGGCCTTGGCCCCCACTCTGCTGGGCTGTGCAAATAGTGCAGGAATGATCCTGCCCCACAGAGCTTGCAGTGAAGGTATTAGAGGAATCTGCAGAGGAAATACAGCTGCACAAAAGCAGGGAGTACAAGAGAACAGCCTATCGCTGGTCAGCAAGCATGGTAGTAATGCCGAGTGACAGGCAGCTCTGAAAAAATAAAGGCAGAAGTTAAAATAGGAGCCATTACCAAGCCTGTCTAGCATCGCCACTATTGTTCTAGCTTGGGAAACCAAATCCCAGTTCCAGGGGAAGCCTTGGTTTGCACTTTGATACTCTGCCTGGGGAGGAGAGTGGGTCGCCATCAAAGCGTTCCCTGTGCAGCTGAGGAAAGCCATTGTCAGCTGCTTGTAACCGTGCCAGAGGGAAGCCTCTTGAGAAGCCTCTCGCTGGGGAGAGCACCCTGTACCAAGAAACTGTCTGTTCTGGAAAGAGAGGAGAAAGGTCCTTGTCCTCCTCTCCTAAACAGCCTTCAAGGGACTGGACAGAGAAAAAGAGCAAGCAGTCCCAGCTATGCATAGGTAGGAAAAAGGAGAGATTTTTTCAGAGGGAGGAGGTTATCGTTTGGTTTAGTGGTAAGAATAAAATAACATGTCTTCAAAAGATCATAAAATTAAAGAAGCTAGATTTGTGGGGCAGAGAAAAGGGAAAAAGAAGCTGGAGTAGAATGAGGGGGCAGGGGTAAAAGGGTATCTGAGAGAGGGAAGGAGACATTAAGCAGTATGTGGATGGAGAAGGATGCAAATAATCTGAATAATCCAAGCTCCTGGAGAGCAGGAAAACTTTGCAGACAAGAAAGGGAGGAGATCCATAGTAATCTGTGTGTATTGACAATACTGCCAGCATCGCAGGTGTTTTCATGGAGGGGATTTGGAGACTTGGTCACTGCCATTTCATAGAGATCATAGCTTGCAGGTTGGCAAATGGCTTACTGCTATTTTCGTTCACAGAGGTCATTCTGAGGAAGGAAATTCTAGCCTTCTACGAGTTTGGCCTGTCTTTCCCCCAGTGTCACCTTCCCAGTGTGCTGTTGTGGTAGGGTGTCAAAAGTGAGAGGGAAATGAAAGCAGAAACGTGTTTTTTCATTCATGTTGCTCATTCCTTGATGTCTACAAGTAACAAGGCCTTCACCTTTAAATTTAAATGCAGGGTATGCTCAAAAGTTTGTGACTCTTTCCAAATGTTGGGTATAATTGTCTGCTGCCAAGGAGGAAAGCACAGAAGTTTTTATCGTAACCTCAGAGGTCCTATAAATGATAAAGGAGCAATATTTGTGTGTATGTGAATGGCTACCTGAGGAAGTCAGTCACCCTGTCCTGTGAATTGCAGCTGGGTCTCACTTATCTATCATGTTACAGAATCCTTAGGCAATTTAAAGCAAATTAATTACTACTGCATGTTAAGAAACAATTGCATGAAAAATCACATTTCAAATTGATTTTCAAATAAAAGGCAATTGGGCTATAAAAATTTCATCACAATGAGCATCGTCTAGAAGCTCACGGTTCATTCTTTTCTCTCTCAGCAACTATGGTGGTCTGTAAATCAAGCTGTGAATGATCAGGGTGGTAAGCATACTGGTACTCTTTGATCCTCGTCGTATCAGACTGTGGTGTCAAGCATGTGTTCAAGCCATCAGGGCTGCAGAATGCCCCATCTTCTGACAAGCTTGCCTGGAAGTGATTTGAAGAGGGAGAGACATAGCTTACAGTTTGGCTAAAGGTGTTAATACCAGACTTAAGACACTTTTTTGGGATGAACGTTTGAGTCTGAGTGTGTGTTCTGCCAATGACCAGGCCCAACAAGAATGATACAGCCAGCAGGAAGATGAACCAATACACAGACTGTATTGTAAACAAAAAGGACATTCCATGAATGATTGCTGGTCGTACAAACAAGTCAATCAGCTGGTTCATGATCGATGCCACCCCCAACGATCCCACAAAAGATGTGACTCAGCCCACAACAGGTGGTACAAACAGTGACCTGAGTTTGCCCGCAGTTGGCATGGGAAACAGCCAGACCAGCAAGTTAAACATATAAGAAAAAGGTGCCCACATGGCGACTCTCACCCGATCAGCCCGTGTTCACAAAGGTCTAAACAGACCAGGGCCCAGCTCCAGGGAGAGTCAGGCGGTCTGCCCTGAACCAGGAAGCTCTGTGGAGGGCACTCCACAGACAGACACTCCTGACTCCCTGCCAGTGGTCCCAGCTTTTATCCCCAAGCAGACACCTGACCTTTGTTCACTCAGTGCGGGACCCCTGGGGCTCATTTCCCTTATGGCTCTCCCTGCAGGGCCGGCCGCACCCTGGGGGGAAGCTATAAGGCAAACTCACCTCCTCTTTATGAAGGGCTGTGGGAATCACCCATGTGTCAACCTTAATTCGGGGCTCGGGGTTCAAACCCCAGCATTTCAGTGTGCCAGTTACTTCCACACCAAAGGAAGTCAGATGGAAGTAGAACCTGAGAGTCATTTCATAGTGTTACAGCTTGACAAGTCAGAAGGTTAAAACTCCAGTCCATTAAGGCCTTTGCTTGTCCTGCAAACATTTAACCATTGTGAAACATGGACACCTGCAAAGCCAATAGTGACATAGTCTTGATTCACATTTGTGTGGATAGTTACAGGTGTTGGTTTTTGACTTTAAAGGCGTCTTCTTGGATTAAAAGCTGTTTTGCAAGCAGGATAAAAATCCATGCTCACCCAGGCAATGGGGATGCTAAAAGTTTCTTTAGGATGAAATTAGCTACAGCCATCATTTGAAGTCTTATTAAAATTTAATTTTTCAATGTAGTCTGTCAGAAAGGAGTCCCATCTCACTAGCATTAGAAAACCCAGAGTAAATTATTCCTGCTTTGTAACATTGATTAGTTAGCTTTGCGGTTTTAAATGACCATTCAAAATTTCAGACACACATGTGAAACACTGCTAACAGCAACATGTGAATTCTAATATCAGTTTCTGATTTTATTTTAAATCTTGAAACGGTGCCTAAGCTGGCACAAACGTTGGTTACCATCAGTCACACCGTGTGTTTTCGTGCAAAACAGTGGTGGAGCAGAACATTAGAACGACTGTTACTAGGATTATTTTGTGTTTGTGGGAGGTTTACTTTATAGACTAATGAAATTTATTGTTCACATTGTCACTAATGGTTGGAAGTAATGCAACTTTAGTTGGGCTGTTGACATTAGAAATCCATTTCTGAAATATTAACACTTTGTAGTATTTTCACAGACCAACTATTTTTAGATTGTGACTAAAGGCAGAAGTTCAAAATCGCCCACTCTGTGCAAGACTACTGAAACGTACAGTCCAGCTGGCACCAAGAATAAAGCATGGAAGGTACTGTGATAGGCTAGGAAAGGGCATGTAGGAACATAGTCCTGTCCTTGAATTTCACCAATTTTTGTATGGTCTGGTTATGTTTAAAAAGAAACAGCAACTGAAACATCTGCTTTCTTTGGTAGCGGCTATCAGAAGTTATGAATATTTTGGATTTTATTAGTAGCCAGTACATGAACATTAACTACAACATATGTGACTTGTATTGAAAACTATATATATGTATAAGTTGACCTGCAGGGAACTGGGTGCTGGCTGGGCCGTCTGGGGCACACTGAGTCAAATTTCTGGGCCTGTTGTCCTTCATGGGAACCTAATTCACAGAGAGGACAGAAGAAAAGGAGATGGTGAACAAATGGGTAAAGCTCAATTTAGAAGTCATGGCTGATAACTCAGTGAAGTCCATGGGTTAGTTTTGTACAATTATTGAGATGCTCTTCAGGAAGGACCAGTAAGAGTGGAGCATGTGTAGTGTGCTGCTACTGCTGGGGAAACAGTGCTGCGGTCAGAGGGATTGTACTGGAAGTCTTGGTTTAATTCAAGCAGCTCCTGACTCATCAGTGTTATACATCATTCTGAATGCATGAAATAGTCCTTTGCCTGCTGCCATGTAATTTGGGAGTTATATGCAGGTGTAAGAACATGGCTCGAGCTGAAGTTTAATACTGCAAACAGCTATAAACAGGGCTTGCAGAAAGGGTTTGGGTAGAAACCGGGACACTGAGAGTCCTCTCAGCTCTGAACATCCATCTTCTGTTTTCGATACTGCTCACCACTGCTCACCCAGGTTAGCTGGAAAGTGGCCTTCGGGAGACTTAGCAGCTGTTTTTGTGGCTGGTTCCTTACAGGAGACTGAAGCACCATTGTGAATATGTATGGGAAGCTGTGAGCGTGAAGTTTTGCTGGGTACTTGTTAAAAAGCAGGCTATCCAATGGTGAAGTCAACGTCTCTCTGGTTTGGAAATCTTTATTAATCTTTGTCTCAAAGTGTATAAAACCCAGAATAGATGCTTATA